TTTTTTAACCTTAAACCGCATAAACACATTTCATTACACCAAATACACAAAATACTGTTCTTTTTAGCAACATCATATGACCCCTTTAAAAATGAATATCATAACAAAAATAAACACCGGTATTCGGTATGAAGCGGTATACCGCCCAGCGCTAGTTGTATGTCATATAAGTTTGTTTGTTAAAGTTGATTGGGGGGATTTTGAGCTTGTAAAAAATATATGTGCTTTTCTCATCTCTGTTCACAATATCCTTTGTAAAGCAGTTCGGATCTGGTGTGTGGGCAGAGGCCTGAAAGTTTCAACCTGGAGAGCAGTGCAGCTTTGTACTCTTTAAAAACAGATAGGCATTGTTTGCTGTAATGAAAGCAGTTTGCAGTATTTGTGTTCAGAATGGCAGAGTGTAAAATTACACCTAAATATAAAACATTATAAACATAAACATAAAAAAAAGCTACATATGTAATTACAGATTATTTTTATTTTACGTAAATTTGTACGTAATTTAAGAAAACAGAAAAAAATACGGTATAAATAATACAGTAATTTTCCTGTATAAAAAAAATGAGAATTACTATAATTTGTCATTAATGGAATAATACTTAAAATAACAGTCAAGCTGTTAATTTACAGATATTGTTTGTAAATTTACAGAGTTTTGGATATCATTTAAAATAACAGAAAACTACTGTAAAAATTTTAGTGTCATTTTCTGTAAAAATAGGACTTTTTGTTTTTTACAGTGCATTCTAGATGCCTTAACCTGACCCAATACCAAAACTAATAAATTTCAGTTTGAGCTCCCCCTAAGGTTGATAATCCAAAAAAATTCTTTCAAAAAGTTTCTTCATTTAAAGTTTCTTTAAATTCTCTTGCCTTCTTTTTCTTTAAAAAAAGCAAAAAATAAGGACCTCCTTATTTAGGCCCTACCCTGTAGGCTTCTATTGTAAACGCATGACTATAAACATGATAGTAGTTTTTACGAACTGAAGTAGGAGTTGAAATGATCTTTTGTGGTACCTAACATCATGCCACACATGCTGTTGACATCGGCGGAGGGTGAACCAACTCCAGGGTAAGGCTAAAAGCAGCCAAATGCATTAAACATCATAAACCCCTCTTTTTAGGCAAGAACCAATCAAAATGCTTGCTACGGATGCGAAAACGCAGAAAATCGAACCTGGTCCGATTTTTCTTTATGACGGACGAAAGTTTCGGAGGCAGTGTGTAAACGTGATTGACACAACGTGTGGTCGCAAATTTCGGACGAAAAATTCGGACTCAGTGTGCAGAGACCTTTAGCCTTCCCCAGCCTTACACACGCTCCGCCTATGGCTGTTGATGAACTTTTCATTAGGGATGGGCGTATCGGTCCGAAGTATCGATATATCGAAACCCATAGTTCAACTGGAGTATTAGTAGATTTGAATCATGTGTAAACAAAAAACATATTTGAACCATGTGTAGACAAAAATATAACCTAATACGTTAGAATTAAGGCGTATTGAATGTTAAAATTGCGTTTTAAACAAAGTTAAGTGCTTATCATTACCCATTTTAGTAATTTCATAAATTTCATAATTTAAAAGTTTAGTTCAGAAGTATCGAATCGGTATCGATATCGACGATACTGCCTTGAAAAATATCGGTATCGTATCGAAAACAAAATAAGTGGTATCGCCCATCCCTACTTTTCATTGCATTGAAACCGAAGCATTCATTTAACATTCCTCCTGTTACCTTGTGTTCAGCCTTTATTTGTTTCCTAGTTTTTCCTCACTGTCCATTTTTCCATCATCTCTCTGTGTGTTGGTGGTGTGTCTCATTTGTGTTTGTTCGGCTTCGTTACTCCAGGTACTTCTTCCCTCATTTGGACTCCCCCAGAGCGGGATCTCGCCTGGCCCACCTCCTGCCTCCCCCCTCTCTCATCGAGCATATGTATGAGCCTGATCCGTCCCACGCTCCTCAGATAAGTCATCGACACACGGCCAGCGAACATGACTGAGTGAATGAACATCACACTAATCGGCTTTTATATGGTTATTCACATTTGGTGTGTATAATTTGTGTCATCAAATGTGTTCGCTTTTTTGGTTATTTGATTTTCTTTATTAACATTATCAAAATGGTCTTTGTTATGTCCAGATCATAGTTTACTCTAAAAAAGAAATTATGATAAATTACTATTTAACTATTTTTGTGATTGATTTACTGCTATATTTTTGAATTTGTTAAAGTAAAAAATACTGTTATGAAATGTTTTTAGTTAAATAATTATAAATTAAGGGTAGTATTTTTTTTGTATTGCTGTATTAAGATTTTTTTTTTCTTTTTTAAATTTATTTTTGAGGAAAGTTATCCCTGCTTTATGAAATGTTACAATGCAAAAAAAT